ACCTTCACCCACGGAGCTACCTCTCTACCCAAGACTGATTTTGTAAGTTACTTTTTCATTAGTAGAATGTCTCTGACATAGCAAGAAACCTTATTTTCCAATGGGCCAAAATGGACTTCCTGGCAAATACAAGTGGCGCACACAAACGCACACACACATTAAAAAAAAAAATGAGTTGTTGGGGCTGGAGAGCTGGCTCAGTGGTTAAGAGCACCTGTTACTCTTGCAGAGGACCCGGGTTCAATCCCCAGCGCCTGCACAGAGGCAGCCGCAACCATCTGTAACTCCACCCCCAGAGGATCAGCAGCCTCTTCTGACCACAGCAGGCACTGTGATACATACCATGCATGGAGACAAAATATTCATGAAGTAATAAAACAACCTACAAATAGATCTGAACTAAAAGCTACTCTGGTTCTATATTGTAAGGGGAAAATATAAAAAAAGGAATTGATGGGCTGGGGATGCAGTTTAGTGGCAGAGCACTTGCCTAGCATGAATGAGGCCTTGCCTTGGGGTTCCACCCCAGCACCCAAAAGAAACACTCATTATAAGTGATCATCTCAAAGGAGTATTTTGTTCACACATCTCACAGAAAGAAGATCCACAGCCCTCCTTCCTTACTAAGTGCGTTCCTTACTAATTTACCAAGAGGGTGGAGGTGCCCACAGAAATTTTTATACCAGGGAAAATGCACCCTAAAATCACTTTCAAAGCATAATGAAATTGTCTAGGAGTGTGGATCAGTGGGTACAGCATAGGTTTGATCTAGCACCCAAAAAAAAAAAAAAAAAAATGTAGACATAGGGCTGGAGAAATGGCTCAGGGATTAAGAGTGCTGGCTGCTCTTGCAGAGCACTCACGGATCCAAGCAACCACATGGCAGCTCACAACTGTAACTGCAGTCCCAGGGGACTGGAATCCTCCTCAGGCACCAAGCACACATATGGTACACAGATATATATGCAGGCAAATATTTACACACATAAAGCTATATAAATTTAAACCCAGCTCTATTATCATTCCTGGGTTGTTGTTTTCTAAGATCATGCCCTAATGTATGTGTGCCTATATGAATTTATGTCCACCACATGAATGCAAGAAACTATGGAGGCTAAAAGAGAGCAAGAGATCCCCTGGAACTGAAGCGACAGATGGATGAGCTGCCCTAACGGTGCTGGAAACCAAGCCCAAGTCCTCTGGAAAAGCTGCAAGCTCTCTTCACCACTAAGCCTCCTCTCCGGTGCCCATCAAATCAGTTTAATGAACTATTAAAATTGTGCAAATGTTATTTTTCTTTTATATGTATGACTGTTTGCTACATGTATGTGTGTGCAGCATGTGAAGGAGCCTGGGGAAGACTGAGAAGGGCACTGGATGTCATGGAGCTGAAGTTTCAATAGGTTGTGAGCTGCCATGTGGGTACTGGAAACCAAACTGGGCTCTCTGGAAAAGCTGCAAGTACTCTTAACTACTAAGCCATCTCTCCAACTCCCCTGTCGTAATTTTTAAAGAACATTCTAGCAAAACAAAGTGGAATATGCCTACAGTCTCACTTGAGCAGTTGAAGCAGGAGGCTGAGCTCAATCAAGGCCGATCTAGGCTACAGATCCAGTAGCTATCCTAAACTAATTAATTTAATGATTCAAAGACTTACAAAAAGTGGTAATCCAAGCTAGATAAGACATCATACCTGCACTTGGGAGAGTGAGGCAAAGCAGACCATGAGGTCAAGACTAAACAAAACACAGGGGATGGAAAGATGGCTCAGTGGTTAAAAGCATTTGCTACACTTTCAGAGAACCAGGGTTCAAATCCCGGCAACAACATGGCAGCTCACTATTTGTAACTCAGTTCCAAGGAATCTAACACCCTCTTCTGGCCTCCCCAGACACCAGGCATAGATGTGGTGCACCCCACACATGGAAATTTGGGAAACTGGAGAGGTGGCTCAGTGGTTAAGAGAACTGGCTGTCCCTGCAGAGCACCCAGGTTTGATTGCCAACAGCCTCATGGTGGCTCACAAACTTTTTTCATTTGTTTGTTTTGTTTTTGTTTTTCAAGACAGGGTTTCTCTGTGTAGCCCTGGCTGTCCTGGAGCTCACTCTGTAAACAAGGCTGGCCTCAGAGATCCACCTGCCTCTACTTCCTGAGTACTAGTGTTAAAGGCGTATGCCACCATGCCCAGCTCACAAAACAACCTTAAATCCAGTTCCAGGGGATCTGACACCCTCTTCTGACCTTTTCAGGCAACAAGTGTGTACATGCAGGCAAAATACACACATAAAATAAAATAATCTTTAAAAAACACATATATACAATCTTGTTGATTATATGCTGAAGTTAGTGCTTTGAAGACCTCTTCAGTTAAAGGCTGTTTTCCAATAGAAACATTCCCTGTAACTGCTTACAATTATAGTCTCCAACCTGGTCCACAATTCCCAACTAGGAAATGCACTTCTTTCTATTCGCCAAAAGCTAGCATGTGCCTTTGTTTTTTAATGCTGATTGAACAATTAAGTCTTTTCTATCAACATATAAAATACCCTATAATTTAGGATCACAGGCAGTTTAGATTGCTGCTCATTTACACTCAGAACCTGAAGTAAATCCCAGTGACACAGGAGCTACAGTGGTAGGTATCATTTTACAGGTTACAAACAGAGGCTTCGCCTTACAATCAAGCCTCAGGGTTCTACATCCCACAAACTGTTATTTCTTTAAGGTTTTTAGTACATCAAACAACAGAAGCACTTAATTCAAAAAGCCTTTCTAACAGTTACCAAGATTTATTTTAATTTATGTAAATCCATGCACCAGGTGGGCGCCTGATGCTCACAGACACCAGAAGAGGGCGACTGATCTCAGGAACTGGAGCTACAGATGGTTGCTGAATGCTGGGACTCAACTCCAGGTCCTCAGGTGGGAGCCAGTGCTCTGAAGCACTGAGCCATCTCTCCAGTTCCTACAGGTTTTAAGAGAGCAAAACACAAAACTCGATCCCACCTCATTTCTCCCTGTTCTTGCTTTCAGTACATATTACCTGGGGTTTATTTCAAATGAAAATATTAAAGTCTTAGCGGGGTGTGGTGGCCCTTGCCTGTAATCCCAGCACTCAGGGAGGCAGAGGCAGGAGGATCTGTAAATTTAAAGCCAGCCTGATCTTCAAATCGAGTCAAGGACAGCCAAAGCTACACAGAAAAACCTGTCTCAAAAAAATAGATAGATAGATAGATAGATAGATAGATAGATAGATAGATAGATAGATAGATAAAGGAAGAAAAAGAAATAAAAGAGGAAGGAAGGAAGGAAGGAAGGAAGGAAGGAAGGAAGGAAGGAAGGAAGGAAGGAAGGAAAAATATTAAAGTTTTTAATCCCAAAACCACACATACCAAGATATGCTAACAGTCACTGCCTCAAAAAGGCTCTAGAGTGCAAAAGATTCCTTTTTCGGTGTTTTTATACCTTCTCAGTTGGGTATAAGATGTGGAAAAACCCATCCTAAAAAAATAATGCTAGTCATTTAACTTTTCAAAAGAACAAACGAACATAAAGGTTTGCATTGCCGTGTTAGTCCACAGCAGTACTGCTTAAGATCTGGAATCCACACAGCCCTGGCTCCAGCATCTCATTTCTGCAACAACCTGCAGAAACAAACGCTGAGGCTTTCTCGAGGCAGAGATCGGCCAGCCAATCCGAGGGCAAGCGTTTAAATCTGGGACCACAGCAACCCAGACACGGGATGTCTCACCGTCCTCGGTCCTCTAGGCCCTGCAGCAGACAGGGGACTCGCCTTCCTGGGTTTTTTTGTTTTGTTTTGTTTTTGTTGTTTTCTTAAACCGCACAAGCTTAATTACAGAAACAAGTTGGCTTTGAAAAAGTAATAAGGAACTGAAAAAAAAAAAAAAAAAGGGGGGGGGGGAAGTCTTCGCATTTGGGAGGGGGTAAAGTTTCTCGACTTCAAGATTGTCTCCGACCTTCCATGCCATACAGTGTGGAGTTCTAGACTCCTGTTCCGTGGGCCCAAGATGCTCTGGCCTCTCCCAGCTGCTCTTCTGGTTAACTTTTCCAACCTGGACAACCTCAAACTGTCTACGAAGTAGGGCTGCCTCCCACTTCTCTCCCAGGCTGTGCGGCTCGGTTCGTTTCAACTATTGCAAACAGAATCAATGGACGAAGCGAGACGAGGGATTTCGGAAGGTGAAAGTGATCCCGGTGATAGGCGATACCAGACGGCAGAGCCCGTATCCACGCCGCACACAGGGCAAAGCCCACACTCATCCCACCCGGACGGCAGACCCCGCATCCACGCCAGAAACACTCCCAACTCTCCATCCGTAGAGCATCACCCGCCCCGCGCTCGCCCCACACGGACCGCCGATCCCGCACTCATCCCTCACACCTCCCTTCGCCCGGCGCACACCTCGCACACCGCACTCCTCTCCCACGCCCCGCACCCAACCCTGCAGACCCCGCACTCGCCCCGCAGCCCGCCCCACACACCTCCCGGGCTCCGGAGCCGCACCACACACCTGGCACATCCCGCGGACCCCACGTCCCCTCCGCGCGAACACACACACACACACGCACGCACACGCCGGACCCTGCCCTCGCCAGGCACACACCCCGCGCTCGCCCCACGAGTCCCCCGGCGCGCACCGCAGACTCCGCGTCCGCCGCGCCCGCTCGCAGCTCGCCGCGCAGCGGAGCCGCAGCTTCTGCCCGAGGAGCCGCCCGCGTCCGCCCCGCCGGGCGGCGCCGGCGGGAAGGGCAGGCTGCGTTGAGCTGCTCCGACCACCGCGGGACTCCGCGGGGGGAGCTCCAGCGGCAGAGGCCGCGGCCGCGAACTCCTCGCGACCCTGCGCGGGCCCCGGAGCCCAGTGCCACCCGCCCCGATCCCTGTCGCCTGCGCCGCCCGTTGCTGGCGACCCAGAGACCCCCGCCCCAGGCCATGCCGCCGGCCTCGCCCGTCGTCCGCTGCTGCCTTTCTCTCTACTCACCGCTAGCCGCCATCTTCCCCAATGCTGCTCTCGATCGGAAACTCACAGCTCAGCCCCGGCCGCCGACACCGACTCCGCCGAGGCCGCCGCCGGCGCTCTGAGGAGCTAAGGCGGCTGCCGCTGAAGCTGCGGCGCGGGGGCCGCTGGGATTTGTAGTTCTGCGGCCACGCCCAGCACTACGGGTCCCAGGGGGCCGTGCGCGCGACAAGGGGCGTGGCCACGCGGCATGAGCCCCTGTCAGCCCTCCCAAGAGCTGGAACGGGCGTCTTGCATTAGTTTTCCCGCGTGCTTGGCTCCATCCTGGAATTCCTGACATCTACGGAGTGTTCATTGTGCGCCAAGCACGGGTCCACAAGATCAGCAGCTGAGGGGGCGTCGTCCTTACTTTTCAGACGAGCAAACTGAGGCCCGAGGTCAAGAGCCCTGCTAAGTCACTGGTTGAAAGGGTTTTGGGTCACAAGGTGTTTAAGGTGTTCAGTCCCCAGGTGTGGTCTCTGGCATCGTGATTTACACCAGGGAACAGTCGCGTTACAGTGGAGAGAACCAAGAGACACAACCTTACCCGAGTGTGCCGTAAACTTACTGTCACCAAGAAAGTGGCTCAAATTGTCACTACTTATCTCCTGATAGGATGAGATGCAGGGAGGAGAAGGCTAGCGAGGTAGTGTTCTTGCCAATACAAACCAAAATAAGTGACCTGAATGTAACAGGGAAAAGAAACTAAAAAACAAACGCAGAACACCATGTAGAGGCAGAAGAAACAAAAATTCAAAGCCATCCACCAAAACAGGGATTTAAGGCCAGCCTGGACTAAAAAAAAAAGATGATGAAAAAATGTTTAAATCTGACCTAAATAAATAAATAAATAGATAAATAAATAAATAAAGGTCAAAGTCAAATGCAATAAATGTAGACCAGGCTGCCTCTGCCTTCCTAGTGCTGGGTTAAAGGCGTGGCATCAGCATTACTGGCTTTTGGATAGTTTTTATGTAAAAAGGACTTTGAAAGAAATTTGGAGTTCGTAGGATAAAATAGACATCTTGGGAAATGTCTTCAGAGTAAAATTAACCCTACCCTAACTCTCCCGACACCGCCGCCAGGATTTTCCACCTGCACTATGGCAGTCTCTGCTCTACTGTTCTGCAAGTGTCCACCATTCACCCCTGGAGTCTGTCCACACAGTAGCCAAGTCCAAGCCGGTCTGGGGGTGCACACCCTTAATCCCAGCACTCAGGAGGCAGAGGCAGGCAGATCTCTGTGAATTGGAGGCCATCGTGGTCTACAAAAGGAGTTCAGGACAGCCAGGGCTGCATAGAGAAACCCTCCCTTAAAATTTATAATGATAATAATAATTTTGTAATAATGTAATAAAAGTAGGTTAAAAGATAATTATTGATTCAAGTGCAGTGTTATACTGAAATGTATACATATGTATACATATCATAGATATGTATATATTCCAAGTGTAACTGACATGGACAATGAAAAATACATATTCAAGTGTGTCTGAAGAAGATCCAAAAAGAAGCCAGACATGCTACTTTAGGATATGTGGGTGGTCTTACACTGCGAAGTAGCATCCGGCAGGTCATCGAAGATGCCTACCCTCCTCCTGCTTTGCCCAGACCACTCCTCCAAGAAGGGGTTGACTTGTGACCCCTTCTTTGAATTATGGTTGATTCTAAGACTGTTTCCAAGGAAGCACAAGTGATAAGGGCTTACCATGGCTGACAGCTCCTACTTCCTCCTTCCCGGCCCCAGCTCTCCCACTATGAGAATCCACAGAGGGAACTGAAGCTGACAGGGGCTGAGGGCCCAGGCTGGAGTCTCCAGCAGCTGCCAGCCCTATGAACAGCCTCCTTGCACATTCCTGTCCTTTGAGTGCCCCAACACTTACATGACTGACAAGATTAGCACTAGAGCCAGGCCTGCTAGGACACACCTCTAATCCTTGCAGTTGGGAGGTAAAAGGAAGATAAGGAGTTCAAGGTTATCCTCCAGTATGCCTGAAATTCCAGGCCAGCCTGCACGTGGCACCCTGTAATCCCAGGACTCCAGAGGCTGAGGCAGCAGGCTTGTCAGGAGTGCCAGGCCAAGCATGCTACACAGTAAGACCCTATTGGAAGGAAGAAAGACAGAAAGGGAAGAAAGGAGGGAGGGAGGAAAATTAGTTCAAATTCCAAAGAGGAAGGTATTCTACTGGTCATATTTCATGCTCTATATGTAAAGAACAAAAAGCACTCAGTATGTTTAGTTTGGTCTTGCTGCTTTGGGTGCTGGGATTGAACCTGGAGCGTTCCGCAAGCTAAGTACTCCATCTAGCATTGAGCTGTACCCGCAACCCAAGTTTCTCACACTCGAACATTTCCTAAGGAGGAGAGCTGGGTGTCATGGGACTCATGTCAAGAAGGGAAGGTAGTCAGCTGGGTGCAGTGGCGCACGCCTGTAATCCCAGCACTTGGGGAGGCAGAGGCAGGTTGGATCTCTGTGAGTCTGAGGCCAGCCTGGTCTATAAAGTCCAGGACAGGCAGGGCTACACAGAGAAACCCTGCCTCAAAATAAATAAAGAAAAGAAAAATAAAAGAAGGGAGGATAGCAGCACCTAAGAGCATTTAAATGTTTCAAGTACTTTGGGGTTTTATTTTTGTTTTCTTAATGAGGTTTTTTTTGGTTTTTGTTTTGTATTGTTTGTTTGTTTTTTGAGGCAGGGTCTTACACTACAACCCAAGCCAGTCTCAAACAGAAGTCCTCCTGGGATCTGAAAGGCAGCAGCACACTGGCTTTTCAGGAATTGTTTGTAATTCTTCATCCCCATCCATTTAATCATTGCATGAATGCGGATTACCCCCATTTCACAGATGAGTAAATGGAGGCTTTGAACAAATCAGTCACTTGACTGAGGATATATACCTGGCCAAGACTCTCAGGCTCTTCCAGTTTGTACCTCTCCACCAATGCACAAGCAACAAAGACATTTAACTGTCTTACGGAACATTCCTGTAGCTCAGTTCTTGGCCTTTTTGCTAAAATCAAGAGTAGCAACAGGGCCATGCAGTAATGGCCCACTTCTTTAATCCCAGCATTCAGGAGGCAGAGGCAAGCAGATCCCTGAGTTCTAGGCCAGCCTGGTCTAGAGTGAGTTCCAGACAGCCAGGGCTACACAGAGAAACCCTGTCTTGAAAAAACAAAATAAAATAAATCTTAAAAAAAAAAAAAAAGGGAAAAACCAATTTAAAAGCAGCCCGCCACAGACCCTGCTGAGGGAGTTTGAGAGTGTTAGGGGGGGTCCCCCCCCCCCCCCCCCCGCGCGCCTATCACGGCATGCTGGTGTTCCTATTGTAGCCTAAAGTCTTGTGGTCACCAGATGACTGTCACAGCTGAAACATCCCATCAACTCACAATTAAGCCTCAAATGCAGTCAGCATTGGAATCAGTCAGGAAGGATACTATACCGCCCCTACCCCCCAACACACACACTTTTTTTTTTCTCTCAATATCCCACTCTCCCTAGCTCAAACAAACAATCCCTGGTATCTCACGGTATCGGGAATCCGGGAAACCCGGCCACCTGGCTTTCTCCAGATGCACTGGAATGCAGGAGCGCAAGTGAATGCTTCTGCCTTGGGCTTTCAGGTGAGCAGGTGACTGAATGCCTCTTGGTTGAGTGATCTGGCCCAGGGGCTCTGCTTCCCTTCAGTTTGATTGTTACAGGGTCTGGTCTCACTCTTTAGCACAGGCTGTCTAAGAATTTGCTAAGTAGCCCAGGTTTGCCTGAACCCCACAGTGTTCCTCCTGGCCCTGCCTCCTCATGGCTGGGGTGAGCCTCTGTGCCTGGATCCCAAAGACTGTCCCTGTATGTACCCCAATTCATCCTCTTTTATGCTGTTGCTATAGGCTGAGGGGAGGATAGCTCAGTGAGACAGCATTTGCCTAGTATGCACAAAGCCATAGGCTTAATCTCAAGCACTGAGGAAAAGAGGGGAAAAAAAAAAAAAGAAAGAAAGAAAAAAGAAAAAAAAAACTGTAGTGCTAGATAATCCCTGGTATTTGGGAGCCTGAGGCAGGATTATCACACGTTCAAGACCAGCCAGCCAATTTAGCAAAATCTTTTCTCAACTTTTCAAAAAAGCAAATAATAAAATTAAATTAAAAAGTGGGCTGAGAATGTAGCTCAGTGAGGCTGAGGCATGGAGTCCTCGGGTATCACTAATTGATTGGTTAAATGAATAAACAACGATTTTAGCCCTTAACCACGTCGACAGGCTAAGCCTGCTCTGCTGCTTTCAGAGCTGGGCGATAATGGCTGGTTTCTTGAGTTTTCTGTGCCTCACCTGATTAATAACAGCAACAGCTGGGGACACGGTTCAACGGAGACCCAAGAACCGCATCAAGCCTGAAGTGTGCGCTGACTAAGCTACAATTACATGTGCCAGTTCCAGGCTTGGGGCTAGCAGGCGTTACTAACCGGAGGTGTAATTTTCCCCCGTTTCCCTTCCATCTCGCCTCATTGCAGTCATTACAGTCCGAAGTTTCCCTGCAGTTGAAACTGAGCGACTCCGGCCAGAGCACTGCGCATGTCTAAGAACCCCGCTTGAAAAGACCAGGGCTGAAAGTGAGCTGGCACCGGCCCACCTCCCCCCAGGCTGTTGTCTGAACCGCTTCACAGCCATGCGGGGATCCTGGCTTAAAGGGAGCAAGCCGGGGACAGACCGAGGCGGTCTGGGGCCGGTGGAGACTCTGTGTTTCATTTAGAGTCGGGGAAACACGTCTGAGAAGCGCCACTCCTCAAGAGCAGCCAAACTGGCTGCTCCCCGTCCTTCTTTAAAATCGGCTCTGACGACCTGTGATTTTGTGTGTGTGTGTCCTGGACGGCCTGGCAGCCAATTGCAACTGGCCTGGAGCTCCCTGCAGCCAACTTGCCCTGCCTGTGACCTGCGAGTGGCTCTTCCTAGCTGGATAAATTGGAAAGCCAACTCCTGTCTGGTTGGCTGTTGTTTTTCTCTTCTCTAAAACTTTGTTTTTCTTGTTTGTTCAGGGTTTGTTGTTGTTGTTATTCAATTTATTTAAGACAGCTTATCCTGTAGCCCAGGCTGGCCTAGAATTTTCTACATAGCTGAAAATGA